AATTAAAATACAAAAACGAAGGTAGGCCTCAATGTTTGTCTTATTTTTAAATTCTCTTCAACACGCATTAATAAGAAATTAAATATGAAGGCCTCTATTACTGCCCTGTTAAATATGCTTTTGCATTTTTTTTAAACCTGCTTTGCACAAAGTGGATTTTACTTTTAATCAGTCATTTGCACTTTTTTCTATTTGCGCGCAAGAACTGATTTGGTTCCAGGTCGCCTCTAAATGAATAAACCAGAACAACATGAGCAACATCCTGCTTTATAATTTACTGATGATTAAAAAAATTATTGTCGTGCTTCAGGATCATAAAGTTATTTGTTAGAAACGTGTTCTTTCTCACCGGAGCTGGCGGAGTGTTGCGCATCCATCGGTGAGTCCATGTGCGCCGTCCTGTGCAGCGGCTGCAGGTGCACATTTTGCGCCTCTGACAGCACCTCCAGAAAAGCGGGCTGACTGTAAAACGAGTGTATTCCCTCCGGTCCCAGTAAACCCATACCGACCCCGAGACCGCCGTGTCCCAGAGCGGACCTGGCCGCCAGGACGTGCGCCCGGTGCGGCAGAGCCTCCAGCGGCCGCCTCGGCGCCGCCGGCGGCTCCTTGTTGAGGCCGAGCAGCTCCTGGATGCCGAAGCCGGTGCGCCGCTGCACGGTGGGGGCCATCTTCCAGCCCGGGGACGGCTGCTGGGATCCGGCGTGGTTCACGGTGGTCTGTGAGGCTGACTTCTGTTTGTTCTCAGTGTCTGAAAGCACAGCTCCCTCCTTCCCCGTCATGGCGCTGGGATTCCACTTTTTTTTTTCTACTCCCTCCAAAAAGATTAAAGCTGGAGTCCCTGGTGCAGCGGGCAGTGATGCTCTGTCTTTATCTCTGCGCTCTCCTCCGCTGCGCTTTTTATCCGACAGGCAACAGGCGGCAGCCAATCACAGGAGGAGACTGACCGCACTCTGACAGCTCCGTGAAGCTTCATTAAATACAGCAATTAAATGTGACAAAATAACGACTATACCTGCATTTCTGAGGAGAAATTATTACAGATACATGTGGACTTGCTTCACATCCTTCATAAATAAAGCTGATTGTCTCTCAGGTGGTGAAACAACCGCCAATAAATCCACTGATCAGAAAACAGAGCGTTGGTTTCACAGGAAAGCTTAAATACCCAAAAATCACGTTTATATTAGAGGCTAAAACACGACTTCAAAGACTTTAGGCCACTTTTTTCGTTCTTTTGGGGTTTATTTTAAAGCTACTGCTTCGAAGTTAGTTAAAAATAAATGAGTCAAACCAGACGTGACTTTCACTCTTCATGTTTCTGTCGCTGGTCATCTGATCCCAGAGTCAGCGGCTCGTTAAAGCAGATCCAATCAGCCGGATAAATCCCTCAAGTCGAGGAAATCTGAGTCATTTACAACACATTTCAACATGTCACTGTTGAAATTTAGCAGTTTTGCAATTTACACCTAAAGGAACGTGCAGAACAAAAACAAACAAGACGGAAAAAAACGACCGTTTGGACAGAAGATATTTTTTTAGACTAAATCACAGACACGTTGGCTGTTTCTTAAGAACTAGTCAATAAAACCACTTCTAGGCAAGAATCTGATAAATTTCTAAAGAACAACTACTCATAGATGTGTTGTTGTTGATGTGTTTTCATGTTAAATCTATAAAAACCTGCATTTTACGCAAAAACGTCTTTTTGGAGACTTACCTTGGAGACCATGAAATTACTCCTAATTTTTTTATTTACATTTTGATGGCACCAACCAAAGTGCATCCATTTATTCCCCAAAAATAATTATGCCATATTAAGATGAATAAATTAGCCTTCCTTCAGTTTCCCAGCACTGCAGATTCACTAACCAACAAAAATAAGGGCACAGGCCGCGTTTTCATCCATGAGACACACTGAAGCAAAACCAAGAAAAGAAAAAAAAACGGGGTCAAACTGAAGAAGCAGCAACATCTCTATGAGTTAATTAATTAATCCAGCTTCTTATTTGAAGGCCTATGAAGTGATTGATCCGTTAGCAGACTCCGGCTTCATCCCAACGTCCCATATAACTCACCCTCTCATTTGCATATTCTAATTAGGTTTGCGCACTAAACGTTTTGTCTTTGCTCGCAGTCTGCGCATCTGTTGATAGATTATTAAGCTTTTTTTTTTATTCTTCGACTGGCCCCATGATAAAGAATACAATGTCCCAGTTCAGGGTATTTAGGACACCCCAGGGTGGCAATTAAATATGAGACAAACAGTGGACCAAACGCCGGTGCGCAACGCAGCAACAGATTTATTTACCTCCTGAGGTTCGAGTGTCTTTTTTAGCTTAAGGGCTGATTTCAAATACAAAAAAAAAAGTATGACACGGACTGAAAGGTTACACAATGTTTCAGGGAGTTAATCCGATTTTGAAAGTGAGAGCAAACGGAAAAGACATTTAGGACGTCAGGGGAAATCATGTGCAGCCTCCCTTCATTCATCACAGAATAAACCTCAGCTCAAATTCAAAGCCACCGAATTGTGAAATGAGGTGAAAATACTTTCATTTTCCCTCTTTTTTTTTCATCCCCCTCAAACCTAATCTTCCCTAATCAGCTATTATTCAATTATTGCGCAGTTCCAATCGTTCGGAGATAATTTGAGGCACACTTTTTGGACATCTGGACAGATAATTGCGCAGAGGAGACTTTATGGAGATGAGTGGACGCGCCGGGTGGAAGCGGAGATGCTGCATTATCAGAGGGACATGTGGGCGATGAATAAATAAATAAATAGGTGGCTCCCGTGGGACCGTTTGGCACCCGTGCGTCACGCTGTCAGAGACGGTCGAACAGATTCACTGTTGGTCTGTAATCGGCGATATGATCAGGAGATGTGGCATCAACCCGATCGAGTCAATTACTGGCACGCTGTCGTTTGCGCGCGTCAGGTTTTCTTTGTGTCGGTAAAACACTGAGATCTAATCTCCTCCTGAGGCCTAAAGTTAGGGGCAAAATGCATCAATTTAGAGGGAAAATTAAATATCAGGTCAAATAATAATAATAATAATAATAAGGATGCCAAAACAAAACCGAGTTGGACACTATTACCTGTTATTTCTATAAGTTCAGACATGTTCAATGTGTTGCAAAAATACATTTTTAAAAAATCAAAATGGCACAAATGCGTAAAGAACCAGAGAGAAAGACAGAACAGTGCAACTTAAATTACCTTCAGCATCTCATGAGAAGCTATTAGAGAGACATTTCATTAGAGGTGAATGAAGAGATCAATGCCATACCAATAGCCATGCTAATGAGGTTTCTATAACACACACACACACACACACACACACACACACACACTGCAGACATGTGGAGGACTTAAACCAATCACATCCTTCCACCAGCATCAGGGTGCAGCTATCATTAGCCTTGGCCTGAACATCTCATCTCTGTTCCAACAGAGAGAAAGAAAATGAAGCTCAGGTTTTGGATCATAGCAGCAGGGGGCAAGTTTTTATTTTTATTTTCTAGTAACATTAAATGTCATCAGCACTGTACAGGAATGATCAGCTTTTGAACTGCTCAGCCTCAGAGTTGGGACACTAAAACTGCCCTTTAGAGGACTTAAAGTTAGACATGTGTCTTTATTTTCAGATTCTAATCATTTCATCTATGTTATAATTGCTGCTAACAATGATGCTGATGATTTGCTAACCCTCCACATGCACTCTGGAATTAAATAAATGATGTCAACTTACAGATAAGTTATGGGACAGTATCATCAGCTGAATCTATTTCATTATTTTAGCTGTGAACAACATGTTATAACCAACCCACTAAAATGGCATCTCGGTCACTCGTCTGTATCTGGTTCTAAAAGGGAATAAAGCCACAAAATAGTTACATCTCTGTTGGCTTTATTTTAAAGATGAACGATTCAAAGTCAGTGAATATTCCTGTTAAATTTATTTAAATCATGATTTAGATAAAGGAAGGAAAACGGCACATTAGTGAATCTACTGTGAGCCACCAGGACTCCTCCTCCAGAAGAACTACTGTTTTTACATTTTCTATTTTTCATTCATTGAGATTGCTTCGTAGAAAACAGTTTTCACTTTGACATGAAGGAGTCTTTTACATTAAAAAAACAAAAGAGAGAATCTTCTCAAAGAGCCAAATTAAACAGGCCACGAATTAATACTGAGAAGCAATAAAAAGGGAAAACTTCCACCACCACCAATCCACTGAAATGGCATTTTGTTTGCCATTTAATTTGGTTCTAAAGCCTGAAAACTATTGTAATTCCTTCAGGTTTGTTTTAAAGATTAAACTTGTAGAGTGAGACTGGCGTGGTCCAGTCAATAAAAATGTCCTTTAACCATGAAAAGCAACAGTTTGATTACAAGAAAAGGTCAAACTGAACCTCTGTGAGTGTTAAGTTCACTGTGTGCACTCAATAGTGTTGCAGAAAAGCCCAACAAATACAGAAATCCAGCAGGAAGATGACTTATGAGGTGGATTATTGACTGAGACTGTGAACAACATGCACAGGGAGGCGGATCTCATGAGTAACTCGATACTTTAATATTCATAAATGCGTCTATAAAGTCATTTCAGAGCATATTACTAATTAAACTAATTGATATTTCATTCAGCACAGTGTCTGAATTAAAAGAATAAAAAAAAAAAAAGGACAGAGTCTGGGTCGGTCTTGTTCTGGCAGAGTTTCTGAACCACGCTCACCTTTTACTGTCTGATCCATCTTTGTCTTTGTTCGAGGCTCCAGAAATGGCTCTTCTAATCTAGCTAATTGCCGTTTCCCAGAGCTCGGCATTTAAGAAGAAGAGCTGGGTCACCAAACAGCCGTTGATCAAAACATCCTATTAGGGCGGAGAAACAAAAAGCTCTCACAACCCCGAACAATGTGCCACTGGTGATTCAACAGTTTGCTCTGTGGGCACAAAGCATTAATTAGGGCAATAACTTCATGCTATTGCCGTTCTATAGTCTCCATTTCTGTATGAGTGCATCTATTTATGCTCTGAAGTTTGTCGGGCACTCTGACTTGCCGAGTGTGCCGCATTCCCCCGTTGCATGTGCAGATGTGTTATTGGCGTAATGAGGAAAATGCTCTGGGAAACGTGGGAGAGAGGCCCCCCGGCGGCAAAACTTTCTTGACAAAATAATATTCCTCTTTGTAGCCGCTCCTAACAGGGATTGACATATTTACTTGGGCCCATTTCTTGTCTAATTAGCACACTTCCACGGTGGACAGGGACTAGCAGTTAGGCAGGAGAAGGGAACTGGACAGGCATGGCAGTGGCAACACAAAAAGGGGCCCCTGGTTTCAGCGTAATTAGGTGAGACAATGCCCCTGACTGTTTTGAGCTATGGCAGCGGCTCAGAGCTGGGGCCAAGCCGGCGAGCGGACGCCCCGTGAGGTGCAGCTCCCCGAGACCCTAATAAGCCCCTAATTGTCTTTTTTTGATTCACATGGGCAGCACCAGCAGACATGAAGACAGCCTATTCCTGGTCTCCTGCAGAGAGCTTGGTCTCTGTCCAGAGGAAAGGGGACAAATTTGAGTTTCCCCCAAAAGCCTCTCGGGGGGCTTTTACCCCGAAACTCCAGACGACTCGTGCTAACGTCTTGTGACAGCGTCCAAACTCTGGAGGCTGAAACACCGAGACAGGGTCGGGATGTCGGCAGATATTTCTGTCGTCATCGAGCACATCCAGGGTTAGTTTAAGGTATCTAGTGGTGTGATAGATGCCAAAAAAACATCCT